TGCATTTAAAGTGACACACACTTAAACTAACAATAATCATAGCTTATATATATTATTTTACCCAAACTACGTTAGGTGACCTATGTTATACCTAACAAGTACTGGTTCCCCCCAGGGTTGTGTCTTGAGCCCCCTGCTATATGCCTTGTACACCTTTGACTGCTCACCAAGCCACGCAATAAACACCATCATAAAGTTTGCGGATGACACGACCGTGATTGATCTCATCTCTGGAGAGGATGAGATGGCATATAAGGCAGAAGTAGAGAACCTGTCTATCTGGTGTTCACAGAACAATCTGTCACTGAATGTCCATAAAACCAAAGAACTGATTATGGACTTCAGGAAACATGGACAGGACCACGCCCCACTCATCATCAATGGAGAACAAGTGGAAACTGTCCCTACGATCAGATTCCTTGGCATCCATATTTCAGCTGATATCTCCTGTCCCCTAATACCAAGGCCATAGTGAAGAAGGCTCAGCAGCGGCTGCACTTCCTGTGGGTTCTCAGGAAGAACAATCTGGATAAGAAGCTGTTGCTGGCTTTCTATAAAGCCTCTGTGGAGAGCACTCTGACCTATTGTCTGGGTGTGTAGTATGCAGGCTCCACAGGAAAACTGTACAGAGGGTGGTGGACACAGCTTAAAAGATCACTGGTTGCCCTCTGCCCGCTCTGGAAGACTTAGCCAGGTCCCGCTGCTAAAGCAGAATCAAGGCCATCATAGAAGACCCCTCACACCCTGGCAATTATCTTTTTGACCTGCTGCCGTCTGGATGGCGTTTTAGGTCAATAAAATCCCATACCACTAGACTAAAAAATAGTTTCTTTTCCTGGGCCATCCGAACCGCAAATAAACAACGAAGTCACTACCTTATTAAGATGTGAAAAGATGTGAAATCTCAATACCCCATTCAGATGAATAATAACATATTACAGTACAATCCATCTCTTGTGTATTATACTCAGCTAAGCGTTACAGTCAGTGTTGGATGTATATTTTTTGTATATTCGTAGATATTGTACTCTCAAATTGCAAATAGAGACATAAGTACTCTATTTTTCTTATCTTCATTTTTAAGTGCTTTGGTTTTATTGTATTGCAAACTGTTGCTAGGGTGCATCCACAGTTCTGTTGTACTTGTACAATGACAATAAAGTTCTTCTAATTCTTCTAATTTATGACCCAAAATGTGTTTTAGGCATTTAGGCTGCTGAAGATTTGTTGATTCTGGAGGTGATAAAATACCACTCTTGAAATGGACCACAATGGGTTCAAAAATCATTAAAAAAGGAATATGAGTAAAGAGAGTCATGTCTTCCTGCAGTGCCTACCCACCTCTCCCCCCCCCCCCAATTCTATACCACTGGAACTCTGCAGTACTTGGGTTTCTTTCCCATTTGTCTATCATGTAGCACTTCTAAAACTCTCTGGACTTCATGTTGTGGAAGGAGGGCAGACCATGTGTCTCTGGGCCATGCAGCAGTGATCCAAATGCAGCCATCATTTTGTCCTGCCTGTTTGTGGCAGTTTTTTCCCAGACTATGTAGCAATGATCCTAATGTAGCCATTTTGTGTGCAGAACAAAATGCACAGCCACTTTTGCAGCCATGGCATGCAGCTGCGCAAAACAAAAAGATATTCCAGGGTTCTGGAACACCTCAGAGCTCTTCAAAAGGTAAGTGAGGAGAGGAATGTTTGGCTTGGTGCAGTGGGAATCAGGTCCAAGGTCTGGTGGGAATGGGAAAAGGCCTGTTGGATACTAAAGCATGGGAACTGGAACATGGAGTGTTTTGCAGATGGGAGAATCTTTAGGAGAGCCAGGGCAGGCAGGCCTGGGCTTGTACTAGGCCTCTCCCACCCAGAAGGCACCCCACACTTCACATAACGATCCCCACACATTTGTTTGTTTCACTGGGGAGAGCAGGAGTGGAGTTGTTAGATGATGTGTTTCACATGATGACTGCTATAACAGGTAATTGTAATGGGCAGGCACCATTGCAGTCATGTCTTGAGGACTGCCTGTATGATAATGGAGTTTACAAATATTACTTTAGAAGTGATGCATTCAGCAAAGGGTACTGTTCCAGCTACCTATGCATTGTGGCTTTTGCTTATTTAGTGTTTTCGAAGAAGTGTTTGACAGGAAGCAATCAAGGCTACTTATTCATATATCCTTCAAAAGGTTAAGCTGGATTGATGAACATATATATCATCTCAGATTCTAAAGTTATTTCAATTTTACAGCTGCCAGTTTTGATCCAGAGATTCGTGAAAAAAATTGCTTCAGATGCACTTTTTCTAGTCTTATACAAATGTGGATTATATTATTTTGTTTATTACTGGTTTTATTTTAAAGCCTGTATTGTTGAGAAAAACCAGAGACATTGCTAATACATATTGCTTTTCTTTATACTGATTTTGCCTTAAATATTCTCCCCTCCGCATATCTCAAAGTACATAGCTTTTTAGATATTCCTAATGAGCCAGACTGTTGCTGAGTATAGGAAAAAATTAATAAACACCAAAATAATGACTAAGATTGAATTCTTTTTATCTGCTACAAGAGTGGAAAATAGCCAGCTCAACATTCTTCAGTTTTTTGACACTCAAGGTGTGATCAGAGATTACTTACCAACTGCAAGAGAATGGGGAATGAGTTCATTAAAATTGTGCTCCCTTTCACACATAAAAGAAAATGTCTTCCAATATGACTTGTAGAACAGTTTACATTCTTTCCCCCTTTTCTTTTAAAGGAATATTGAGATCTTAATTGAGATCCTTCTTTTGAGGTTTAAAAATGACTACTATTATATATATCCTTATATATGGTGTTAGAAATGTTAAGGTTTTTATTACATATAAAGTTATGTATGAAATTACATGCTTGTGCTTTCTTTTCCATGTCCTTTAAGTATTACTTTAAAGAAAGAATTAGTTGGCCTTAAGTGTAAGAGAAATAGAACCAAAATGGGGCCAGTGAAAAACAAATTATATATATTAGAGTGTAAAAACTACTTCTTGTTATTTTAAAAACAATAACAAAATATCACGATAATAAAATAGACTCTATGCACAAAATAGTTTATTTCGTTTTATTTTTAAAGTTTTCCCCTTTTTTAGAATGGAAGGGAAGATTAAAGCTCTTAGTGTTTTTTTTCTTTTTCATCTTTATAATCCAAGGGTTTTTTGTGCGTATTAGTATTGGGCTTTTTATTTCTTTTATCATATATGTTTTTTATAAAATAGGTTAGTGTTTTTTTAAATACATACTCTTTTATACAGTAGTAATATATGTGTCATTGTATAGTTATTTAATTTATACATTTAGTTAGATATTCATAATTAATGGTTTTAAAGAAATGTTGATAGCACTGTTTTTGTAGCTTGATAAAATATATTTAAAAACTGCAATAGATTTTTTGAAAGACTTGGATTATGCATATCCCCATCAAGTTATAGAGTTTTATAAGAAGTCCAAATACTGTGCCCTACATTGTAACTCTGCCTCTACCGACATCTTTATTTTTTTCCTTAGTAGGAAAAAATTCTGATAAAAGCATGAAATACTTTGTCTCCTCAGACATAATTCTACCATGACCAGGTAGGAGCTACCAGAAACAAAAAGGAAGGTTAAATCTAAATAATCATAACAATAAGTTGTAGGAGCATAGTAATAATAATAATAATCTGTGAACACGCTATTCATGCCTATAGAGAAAAACACCCGTGATGGCAAATGGCAAAATGATACAGCTTCTGCAAAAACCAAATATAGACAGTTGTATTGCACCAAAGCTTGAGTGCCTTAGGTGCCAACAATATTTAGTCCTGCCCTGGGTCATAAGGGAAGACGACACTCCCTAGAAATGACTCCCTATTCAGCAGCTCTTGGCCATTAAAAACCTGGCAAGAAAACAGATTTGTTTGGCAGTAACACACTACAGAGCCGTAATAACCAAGGCAGTGAATTTCTGCTTTGATTGTGTTAACTGCCAAAGCATCCACTGTACTTAGGACCAAGAGGGGGACTCCATAGCTTTGAAGCCTGCTGACTGGTTTTCTAAAGGTTGAAATCCAACCCATTCTATACAGTGTTCCCTGTAGGAAATGGTTCATTGTTACCTTGAGATGGGCCAATTCTCAGCAAATCTATTCTTCATAGATCTTTTTATAAATTGGGATTCTACCCATTTTCTCTAGATAAGGTTTATATCTTGTGTTACATTACTGTTTGAAGTCAAACAATCCTTTATCTATTGTGTGTGTGGACAATAATTCTATTTGAGTTAGGCCCTGATGTATAAAGCATTACTTAGTGCTTGTTTGCATACTTGCTAATGAAAAATAACAAATTGGTGATGCTCATATGCCTACGGGTAATGTAAAGAACAAAGCAAATTGCAAAATGTTTGTTTGCTGTTGCTACTGGGATGTAAATGACCTGGGCTCATTATTGCCCTAATGTTGTTTAACACACCATAAAATGCTCTGGAAATTAGAAGCAGGATTCCCCCTCCCCTGTGTGTCCTTGGCCCATCTGGTGTAAATGAAGAGCTTCTCGCTGTATTTTAGCTGTCAACCTGCTGTGTTTCTACAATCCAAAGCAGGATTGCCCATGCTATTTGAGCTGAGATTTTTGTATTGCTTGAATAATCTTTTGTCTAGAAGGAGGTAATTGTTCTCTTTCAGCTAATATTTCAGGAGGCCATTCGTCCAGGGACTCTCCAACAAAACTAAATTCCTGTTGATTTGATTCATCAGCTGCCACATGGAAGGTTTTGGAGCATGGAAAGAAATGTGTTTTCTCCTGTTTAAACAAGATTATTTATCCCTTCAGCAAGAACTGAAAAATGAGCTTTTATTCCTTTTCTTTTGAAATTTCTTTCCCAGTTTTGCTGAATTTGCTAAAACAGTCTAACCTTTTAATAAACAGTCATTATGAAATAGACTCACTTTTAGCATTTCATTCTAATTGTTTAATTTCTCTCTCCTAGGGGGTTCAGGTACAGGCAGATTACATCCCCTTGTTGAACTCTCTTGCAGTATATGGTTGGCAGCTGACCTGTGTGCTTCCCACTCCAATTGTAAAGACAAAGAGGTATGGTCAAGAGACAGTCTTCCCTTAAGTTTAAAAGTCAGTCATAAAAATGGTCATTGATCTTACAATAAGCCTGCACAGAAGCTGCCTATATAACATAGAGCATGAAGTGTTCAGCCCTTTCTCTTTTTATGCCGATAATCTTGCAGTGCAAGTAGAAAGCAGTCTTTGGCAAGCACAGGGGAGACTATGCAAGCTGCAGATGGAAGTCTGCAGCTTGCATAGAAGTCCTATTATCTGAGACATTATCAATTGTTTAATTTTCTTTTCCGGATAAAAGTATGGTTGAAGTCATTCCTCCTTGCTGGCTCATATCCCAGATTGTCTTTCATGTGGGAGTGATATTCACCTGCACAACATCTCACACTTTCTCAAAGAGTCTTTAATCTCCAGACACAGGGATCTTTTTTGAGGGGGCTGTGGAAAGCTACAGGGGAAAGCAGGAAAATTTCATCCCATGAATATAAATTATTGTCATAGAATTCAAAGATACAAAAGCTATATAGCTTCCATGCCATTTGCTGCTACTTTCCCTTGTATGTCTGCCATTTATCTTTGTTCCTTTGTAGAAGGCTTAATCTTTAAACATCATTAGCACTAGATCCAGTGTGCCAGGGTGCTAAACCAGTATCTTAAGCCAAAAAACAAACACAATTCCCCTGCCTCTCTAAAAAGTACTGAATTTTTACTTGTGTCTTTAAAATGGTAGCCAGGATATAATGTAGAATTAGTGAGGATCGTGATTAGCCCTACTTAATATGATGCGCTAGCCTTGAATTGCTGTCCCTAGCCTTGAATTTGCTGATGCAAATACTTAATTCCCATCCTCACCCCCTTAAAGATAGTGCTCGAGCACCACATATAGATTGTTCTATTTTTCATAGAAAATGACTAGGCAGTGGTAGCTTGGCTTATCAGTTTGAATTCATTTATCAACATGGATTATTGCTGATTTCATTCATTTTTATATTCTGTTTCCTGTAACTTCAACTACATCTGTAGTAGGTTAATCTGTTATTAACCATTCTGATGAAGGGGAGCAAATTACATTAGGATTGAAGCACCCACAATTGTATTTATTTAAGCATTAGGATTGCAACATCCATAAAGGGGAGGTTCCTGCTGCCAGGGAGATGTGGACTGACATAGAAGGCAGATGGGCTTTCTTTTGACTTTTGTCCCCCAGCAACAGCAAAACTATTTCCTACAATTCAGCTGCCAAAATTCCATTCAGATTTCATTTCACTATCAATTGGCAGGTTCGATTCAGATATTAATGAACTTTTTCAATATGAATCTATTTAATCAGATGTTTGAAAGCTAGTAATTGTCATATGTTTTTTATTTCCATAAACTAATTATCTTTGAATGGCTGTAGATGATTGGCTCAGTATTTGCAAGTATCTTTGTAGCTATGGAATAAGCCACTCAATTAAAGCATAATCCTAAATGGTTAATTAGAAAGGCCAGCAAATTTAAGAAAGAAATTACCTCAAATATCTTAATAGGTGGTAGCACTTATTCTGTATTGCCAGTGCTTAAAAATTAAACAAGATCAAGCCTGGTTAATATTTGAATAGAAGGCCTCTATTGAATACCTAGGCTGTAAACCAGACTGAAAAGATGTCTTGGAAGAAGGCACTTCTGTAACAGAACCAAAAACAAAACAAATACCTGTTCATACATGTCCATTAGTCATCAGAGGTTGACCTTGACTGAAACAAGGCTTTATTTTAATAGATACAGGTGAAACTCGAAAAATTAGAGTATTGTGCAAGAGGTACACACTGCAAGATGCTTGAAGTCCAGTGTGAAGTTTTCACAGTCTGTTGATTTGGGGAGCCATGTCATCTGCTGATGTTGGTCCACTGTGCTTCATTAAGTCCAGGGTCAACGCAGCCATCTACTAGGAAATTTTGGAGCACTTCATGCTTCCTTCCACAGACGAGCTTTATGGGGATGCTGACTTCATTTTCCAGTAGGACTTGGCACCTGCCCACACTGCTAAAAGCACCAAAACCTGGTTCAATGACCGTGGGATTACTGTGCTTGATTGGCCAGCAAACTCGCCTGACCTGAATTCCACAGAGAATCTATAGGGCATTGCCAAGAGAAAGATGAGAGACATGAGACCGAACAATGCAGAAGAGCTGAAGGCCGCTATTGAAGCATCCTGGTCTTCCATAGTACCTCAGCAGTGCCACAGGCTGATAGCTTCCATGCCACGCTGCATTGAGGTAGTAATTGCTGCAAAAGGGGCCCAAACCAAGTACTAAGTACATATGCATGCTTATACTTTTCAGAGGTCTGATATTATTCTATGTACAATTCTTGTTTTATTGATTGCATGTACTATTCTAATTTTCTGAGATTGTGGATTTGGGGTTTTCATGAGCCGTAAACCATAATCATCTCAATTATGACACATCAAGCCTTGAACTATCTTGCTTTGCATGTAATGAGTCTTTTTCATATATTAGTTTCACCTTTTAAGTTGCATTATGAAATAAATGAACTTTTGCACGATATTCTAATTTTTTGAGTTTCACCTGTACATGTAGTGTACTGGGGAAAAAAGTTGACAGTTTTTGATTTAGCGTTGGCCTCATGCCTGTTTCAGGTTAGGGTTGTAGTTAGTGCTACAGAGCCTGCATGATGGAGTGGCATTGGAGAGACCAGTTTCAATCTGCATCATTGATGGAAGCTCACTGGGTGGCTTTGGAATATGATAGAGAGTTTCTCAGCCCTACCCACCTCATATTTTCAGGGAAAATGGAAGAAAGGAGCATTTATGCTCTTCCTTGAGCTTCTGGAAGGTACAAATCTGAAAATGAATTATATTCCAGACAATTACATAAGTATTCTGTGTGTTAGTCCATTGCCCATACCCCTTAATTGATGGGATATGGGCAACAGTATGTTGGAATGTGAAAGAGTGTAAGATTAGAAAAATCTATCAATAAAGAAATGAAAAATACTTTATTAGATTCAAATATGTTTTTCTTTTCTCCTTTTAGACAAAAACAACAAATTCCATTAGCCCTTAAACATAAACTAATTTATTATGGTGCACATGTTTTGGCTTTTAAAGTGTCATCTTGTGTTTTATACAGATTTATAGAAGTCCTTTAAGCCTTTTCAGATGTATGAAGATCCTAGTTTTGTTTTGCATTTGTGAAACAAAGAATGTTTGAGGAGATCTTTAAAATAAAGCCTTTAGAATTTGGACTGAATACAGTCAAAATATGTAAGACCATTTTTAAAATGGATCTGGCATGGTTCTCCCAACATGCAGCAAATTATGATACATACTCTTTTTTTAACCAAATCTTCTCTTGGAAATAAAGGTGATATAGTATATGTGACTATATTTTTGGAGAGAGTTGGAGGTTGGACTGTCTACCTCAGGCCTTACTATTGAGACTTTAGTTAAAGAAACAATGAATTAAGATACAATCTGTACAGTCTTGAGTTTTGTCAGACAGTGAATACAACAGGTGTTTTCTTTGCTTACATTCATAACAGCAAGAGGATTCCTGCTATAAGAATTACACATTTTGAGAAATGTTTATTGATTAAAAGTTTATTTTTCAGTTCAAAAAACATTTTAATAGCTAAAAAAAATATGTGGTGCCCACTTAATATCCTTTTATACCTTGGATGGACCTTCCATCCTGTGAGGCAAGGAGCATCTATAGTCAGCAAGCCTTGTTACAAATCACGTTAGTAATACTATTGCTAAATTTGCAGATGATACAACAGTGGTGGGACTTATCTCCAGGGGGGATGAGTCTGCCTACTGAGATGAGGTGGACCGGTTGCTTTCGTGGTGTGTAGACAATAACTTGGTCCTCAACACCAATAAGACCAAGGAGCTTATAGTGGATTATAGAAGGAACAATCAGACATCCAGCCCTTGCTTATCAATGGAGACCGAGTGGAGCAGGTGGCCAGTTTAAAGTTTCTGAGTGTTACCCTAAAAGAGGACCTGGCCTGAGGTGCCCACATTGCAGCCCTGGTCAAAAGGGCCCAGCAGAGATTATACTCCCTGAGGCGTCTCAGAAAACAACAACTGAATGAGAAACTGCTGGTGATCTACCGCTGCACCATAGAGAGCATTTTAACATACTGCACCTCTGTATGGTTTGCCAATTGCACAGTGGCAGATAGGAAAGCACTCCAGAGGGTAATATCATTGCCCAGAAGATCATTGGTTGCCCTCTCCCCTCTTTGGAAGAGCTTTATAGCTCCCACTGCTTTAAGAAAGCTCAAAACATTTTCAAAGATCCATCTCATCCTGGGAACCCTTTTTTTGAACTATTAACCACCTGGCAGATGGTACAGAATAATAAAAACAAGGACAAATAGGCTGAAAAACAGCTTCTATCCCAGGGCAGTAGTTCTTTTGAATTCTGCTGTATAGTGCAGTGTTGGTGTGGTGTCGGGGGTTTCCAGTTCAATGTGTGAAGAGTGAAGGATGTGTGTTTGTGTTTATTTTCATGGTCATGGTCATGATGTGCATTGAAGATGGTGTTTGATTTCATTATACAAGGTGCAATGACAATAAAGTAAACTAAACAAAAGCTGCTGTTGAAAGAATTTCTTGAAAAGTAACAGGAAGGAATTGTTATTAAGTTCCTGAGTAACCATATTAAATTAACTCATGTTAAATTTAAACCAATTTTAGTTTGTAATGAAAGTCTGACACATCACTCTAGGGTCAAGTCTTCTGCCCATAGATGGTCTGCAAATTGTGTCACAATGAAAGAAAGTTCAGAAGAAGCTTATAGACAATTGACTAATACTAATCCCAGTGGCTTAGCCAGGTGAAGAACTTAGTGTGTGTATGTTTTAAAGTAATTTTAGTGGATGGTCCTTAATTTTGAAGGTGGACATATGGAAAACATTCTCAAGCTAGTGTTTTTAATTTTTATTTTGTAGAGATGGAAAACTAGCCACAAAGCAGATTGTCTTTCTTCAGAGACCTTTCCTGCCCCAGAAAAACAAGAGGAAGCAACCTAAGGTATATAGCCTTACACTGTTCAGTGTATTTATCTTGGCAAAGCTTGCATATTTTAATTTAATTTAATTGAGTAACTTATACTTTAATAAGCAACATGTCAATTGCTTATTTAAATTTGCTGTTATTTTCAATTACGGCTGAGTTATCAAAGCTAACTAACAGCAATAAAATATATAGGTGTTAAAAGAAGTGGAAGCAAGGACAAGGAACTTGTGGCTTAACAGCTTTTAGGTGAAGTAACACACAACTCTTAGTCGGTTCAGTCAGCCTTGAGGAATGCTAGGAATTCTAACTTAACAGTAGTTGGAATATGGCTTGCTTCCTTTCCATCTCTCCAATGAGTTATTACACTCCCACCCTTTTGCCTTTACATGTTTAATGCCTGAACTCTACTTTGGTTAACTAAAAGGAAAAACATGTCAAAAGTAATGTCACAAAGTAAAATGTTTCAGTTTATGATCTTTATTACCCAGGAAAAGAAAAAGAACCAAAATACCAAGTGTTACTTGGTAGGGATATGTCTAAATTCACAGGTAATAGTGTGAGACTTCGGAATGGCACATTTAATTGCAAACAGAGGCATACATTGTCTAATTAGATCTGAATGAGCTTATTGAAAATGGGAGACTTGTCCCCTTGTCAGCCATAAGAGAAATTTAAAAGGCTATAGTATTTTTGATTGTGTCAAATGCTACAAAATTTGCAGCACAGTTTATAACAGGAATAAGATTGCTAATGTAATCAAAACTTTTTGAACCTATACTTTTTCAACAACTATTATTTAAATTTCTGTTAAGTGAGAAATTTGTTGAGTGAGTTTTGTTCCATTTTACGATCTTTCTTGCCACAATTGTTAAGTGAAATGCTGCAACTGATAAATTAGCCACCCAGTTGTAACATGAATCTGGCTTCCCCATTGATCTTTGCTTGTCGGAAGGTTGCAAGAGGTGACCTCATGTCCTTGGGAAACCAATGGTCATAAGTATGAATCAGTTGCCAAGCATCTGAATTTTGATCACATGATCATGGGAATCTGCAAAGCTGCAGATTCTGCAAAGCTACAAAGATTATAACTGAAAAATGGTAAGTCATATTTTTCAGGGCTGTTGTAATTTTGAATGGTCACTAAATGAACTGTTGTAAATCAAGGACTACTTATACAGCCTCAACTTTTTATTTTTACACATTAGTATATAACTAGCAATTTCTAAATCTATCTAATCAGCAAAACCAAAGACATTTATTTTTCATCACAAGCACAAAATCCAGAAGTTATATCTAAATAAAAACATATTTAAATATATTCTTCTCTTTGAATAAAACCATCAACGTAACCATTTCTGCTTTATCTTCCTTGCTGAGTAAATAATGTGTATTTCTATTTGCACTTAATAAACTTTATTAACAAAATTCATGTATTCGTTCAGATTCTTTAACCTTAAAGGGGAACATTAAACAAAATTTGCTTTAAGAACATTTCTAAAATCAAAACATTTTAATACGTTTTTTTAAAACTTCTTCTTAACATATATACCGGTACTTTAAAGTTCACTTTCTGACTAATAAAATTCCAATTAACTCCAATAAACTCACATTTAGACCACTCTCTCCAAGTTACCATTATAGAATATTTTTTTCTTTATACAACCTTTTTAAAGCTCCAAACTTTTCTTTAAGGTAATACATCTTTTTCTTTAACTTTCTCTTAATGTAGATACTTACTTAAGCACTTTAGCATTACATATAAAAAAGAAAAAATACATTTTCAGACTTTAGATTAAGACTTTCTTTCAATTTTAAATATCAAAACAATGAAAATTCATCCTAATTCCAGTTGACTCATTGAGTTTAAGTCACTCCTTCCAACTTGTCTTCATGGAATAAAATCTTCTCTAGAATGTTTGTCAAGTAGTTTTAAGCTTCTTTTTCTTCTCAAGGATTTCTCAACCTTGTTAGTGACCATTAGGAAAATATCCCAAACTTGTCCTTTTCAAAGTTGCAGAAATAAAAGGTCTTCTTTCAGTTCTGTTGGGCAGTTATATTTAAACCATCATAATAAAAAATATGTCAAATTTATATCCCAAAATTGCAATGGACTGCATTGTTAGCTACTTGTGAAATTGCTTTGGTGGTTTGGTAACTTCCTACACATACTTGCATCTCTGAAGTATTTGAGAAGTTTTCTTTTAAATCCTTGGAGCATAGCTGATTTATGAACTGTTGCATTTTATTTAAAGATTTTTCCAATACATCTCTAATAATTTGTCCTCCATTTTTTAAACTCCCTCTTTAATCAAAGAGTATCTTTTTTGTAAGTCAGTTAAAAATTGCTGGTCAATTAGGGATCATAGAAATGGGAAAGTTTTAGCCACTCATAGCAAAGCAGACTGAGCTACAAATTACTAAAAATAATGAACTAGAACCACAACTTTCTGCCCTTATATTTCTCCATCAGTTTTTGTTAAAAAAAGGTATTTCCTTATTTTAGTTTGCCTTCAGCAGCCCTTCTTCCTTATTGTTCAACAATGAAGAAATTCCCCCAAATGTTGCAGATCTTCAAAAAGGAATAACAGACTGTGGCTAAAGAAAGGTTCTTTTAGCTTAATAAAAATTAATAGTCTTTAAAAATGATTAAGAAATGAAAGGCATAATTTATTTTCCATTCAAAAAATAATTTCCAAAATATCTGCTTCTTCAACAATGAACTGATTGAATCCTCGACCCCTAGCTTTCAGCACGCAAGCTGCTTTGAAGCACAGCTCCTGAAGCTACTTGCAGACCTTTGCTGTATTGGAAGATCTTGAGGGATAATTCTAGGACTTTTCCTAGCACAGGAGAGTCATATAAACTAAAAGAATGCTGTTGGTAAGTTGAAAAGGCTACAGTCCAGGGGAAAAAACCTTCAGGGATCCTTCCCAGTTGGTCATCTTTTCACCAGAAGTCAGCATATTCAAAAAAAAATTTTGGATTCATTTCACAAAGAAATAATATTATGACTGCAATAGTGGGAAAATGGCATGGCAGAACTAAGCAGCATTCATCATATTACCAATAGATAGGCACCAACCATACTGTGACACAAAGAGAAAGTAATAAATATTTAGTGTAAAGCCACCAAGAATAGTTTAAAGAAGTTGCATCCCATCCTCGCAGCATTGATATCAAGTTGGTCTAGTTCTCCAGTTCATTAGTATATTCTGAATTGAGGGGGCAGAATCAGTTCCTGAAATCTAAATGTTTATACACTGTTCCTTCCTTTCCCATCAGTCATGACCCTCACCCCATTACTGGATCCCTATATCTAAAAGTATCAGATATAGGCCCCAGTTTCTTGTATCTCTTTGCTGCCATTTAGTAGTCATATGGATTTTTGCATCCAAGATTTGGTAGCGCTGCTTAGTCTATACCAGGGCTCAGCAACCTTAAACACTCAAAGAGCCATTTGGACCCATTTCCTACAGAAAAGAAAATACCTGGAGCCATAAAACCTGGGTGGGCATGGCCAACTTGATGTCAATCACTCCCACCCAGTCACATGACTCCCCCAGCCACACCTACTCAGCCAGTCATTAGGGCAGAGAACTGGTTGGTATATTTGCCTCCTCTCTCCCCCCTCCTTCCCTCTCCCTATCTCTCTCCCTCTCTCTCTCTCATATAACAAGAGGACAGCAGAGAAAACATCTGAAATTGAAATCATAGAGCACATAACAAGAAAATACATCAGGGAGAATGCACACCTCTGTTATGAGCTATCACCACTTAGTTTCAGTGTGAGGAATTTCGATTACTCTTTCACAACTTGACTTCTCCCTGGTGGCACTGGATTTCTTTAACAGCACTGTTATGTTCCTGGAACTTGCCAAAGTCCCCACCCAGGTCCGTTCATGCTGCGGGGGCGTTTGCTGCCCCTCATTGGCTGGCTTCCCATGACAGCCGGCTATAAAAGCCAGCTGCAGGGTTCGGTCAGCCGCTGTTCGCTGTTCGCCTGCTCCAGGCAGGGCTAACACGTTCAGTCCTTTATTGTTTCAATAAAGTCTTGTTGCATCCATGCCCTGGTCTAGCCTCTCATTGCTCAACTACAACACTGGCGACGAGGATGGGATGGCTACCAGAGGCAATCCGCAACAGCTGAAATCACTCAATTGCTGAGCCACAGCCGCGCCGCCGGAGAGCTCGGTCAGCAAGAGCGAAAGTAAAAGCGTCTGTAGCCGCTTGGTTAGCAAGCTACAGGGGAAAGTGGAGCGCTGCGAGCCGCAGCCGCTCAACACAAAAGAGCGCGAAATTCAAACGGCTGTCGTTTGAATTTTTTGCCGGAATACAGCGCGGTGCTGTTATTCCGAGTCACTGACACCTACGCAGGCGCGAAATTTGAAGCGCTATCAGTGGCGGCTAGCCATTTCCGCCTACGCTCCCCAGGAGCACGAAATTCAAAATGCTGCCAACAGCCGTTGCAGCCAAGCCACAATCGTTAGCCCAGAGAGAGCAGAGAGGTTCTGTGGAGCCTCTCCAGAGCTGAAGTCACTAGCCTGACAAGAGCACAAAGGGCCATTTTGTTGTCCCAGAGAGATTTCACAGCAGCATAACCTGCAGAAGTTCTCATCATGAACTCCAACCCAGCCTTCCCACCGTTCAAGCCGGATGAAGAAAAATGGGAGTCATACAAAAATCGCTTTAATCACTACATCGACGCCATTGGTCTGGCTGATGCGGGGGAGCACAGAAAGAAGTCATTCTTCCTCAGTTATTGCGGAGCCATCGTTTTTGATACTGCCACAGCACTCGTCGCTCCACGTGAGTTAAAGAATGTTCCCTGGGCAGAATTGCTGGAAATTCTCACCAATCATTACTCCCCTAGGCCCTCACAGATCGCGAGGCGCTTCACCTTCCGGATGAGGAAGCAAGCTGAAAAGGAAACCGTCAACCAGTACATGGCCGCCTTGAGGACTGCAGCCCTCCACTGCGGGTTCGGGAACTACTTAGATGACATGCTCCTCGACCAG